ATAGAAACACCATACGATCCAGCAATCCCACTCCTAGGAATGTATCCTAGAGAAATAAGAGCCGTCACATGAATAGACGTATGCACACCCATGTTCACTGCAGCATGGTTCACAATAGCAAAAAGATGGAAACAACCTAGATGCCCATCAACAAATGAATGCATACACAAACTATGGTACATACACACAATGGAGTACTATGCAATGATAAAGAACAATGATGAATCTGTGAAGCATCTCATAACATGGATGAAACTGAAGGACATTATGCTGAGTGAAATAAGTCAATCAAAAAAGGACAAATATTGTATGAGACCTCTACTGAATAACTCATGTAGAAGTATACACACAAAAAGAAACAATCTTTGATGGTTATGAGGGAGGAGGGGGTGGGGGTGGGGGAAACACTAAATAGACAATAGATAAGTGGTAATTTTGGTGAAGGGTAAGACAGTATGCAATACTGGGGAAGCCAGCACAACTTGTACAAGGCAAGGTCGCGGAAGCTCCACAGATAAATCCCAACTCCCTGAGGGACTGAACTGCTGGGCTGAGGGCTATGGGGACCATGGTCTCGGGGAACATCTAGCTCAACTGGCATAATGTAGTTTATAAAGAAAATGTTCTACATTCTACTTGGTGAGTAGCATCTGGGGTCTTAACAGCCTGTGAGCAGCCATCTGAGATACTCCACTGGTCTCACCACTTCAGGAGCAAGGAAGAATGAAGAGAACCAGATACAAGGGAAAGATCAGTCCAAAGGACTAATGGACCACATCTAGCACAGCCTCCACCAGACTGAGTCCAGTACAACTAGATGGTGCCCGGCTACCTCCACTGACTGCTCTGACAGGGATCACAACAGAGGGTCCTGGACAGAGCTGGAGAAAAATGTAGAACAAAATTCTAACTCACAAAAAAAGACCAGACTTACTGGCCTGACAGAGACTGGAGCAACCCCTATTTATGGCCCTCAGACACCCTTTAAGCTTAGTAATGAAGTCACTCCCAAGGTTCACCCTTCAGCCAAAGATTAGACAGGCCCATAAAACAAAACGAGACTAATGGGGCACAACTGCGCAGGTTCGGGACTAGAAGGCAGGAGGGGACAGGAAAGCCGGTAATAGGGAACTCAAGGTTGAGAAGGGAGAGTGTTGACATGTCGTGGGGTTGTTAAGCAATGTCATAAAATAATACATGTACTAATTGTTTAATGAGAAACTATTTGTTCCGTAAACTTTCATCTAAACTATGATAAAAAAATTCTTAAAAATGGCAAACCTTTTGTTACATGTATTTTACTACGATGAAATTTTTAAAAAGACTATGGTAGTTATTTATCCACAAATTCTTTGGTTCTTTGTCCAGGAGGTAGAGTTTAATTCTTCTCCCCGTGACTATGGGTTAGACTTACAAAAGGAAAAAAATGGCAGCTACCACTTTAACCAAGCGACGATAGTTAACATTTCCAGTAGTAAGACATATTAATATCACGAACTACATAATATGATTCAATTAGAAGGGCTCTTCACCTCTGGTATACTTCCACAAAATCTATAACCTTAGTCTAATTATAAGAAATCATCAGACAAACTCAGATTGAGGATATCCTACAAAATATCTGACCAGTACTCATCAAAAGTGTCAAGGTCACGGGAAAGAAAAGACTGAGTAACTGTGAGAGAGACTGATGTGTCCCAGTGTGGCATGATAACTAAAAGCAATGTGGTACCCTGGACTGGATTCTGGAATAGAAAAGTGAAATCCGAATAAAGTCTGTAGTTTAGTTAATAGCACTGCATCGACGTTAATTTATTAGTTTTCATAATTACACTATGGTTATTTAAGATGTCAAGCTGGGTGAAAGGTGTATGGGAATTCGACTCTCTTTGCAACTCTTCTATTTACGTCTAAAGTTGTTTCAAAGTAAAAAGTTAAAAAAAGATTATGGTGATAAAAAAAATTAACTCAGAATGTATCCATGGTGTGACTGATTACTTCTGTGTGGCCTTTCTAACCATGGTCTTCTAACTCCCAAGTGATTGGGCGGGACTGGACAGATGTGATAATTGTGGCCCACCAAAGGTATTGGTCAATTTTGCCATCCCGCCGGGCTTGAGGTGAGCCATCTCAGAGGCGGGAGAGAGAATTCCACCACCTCCAAGGAAGAACAACCAGGAGCCAGCATGTCCTTTGGACCTGGGATCCCTGCGCTGAGAAGCTCCTGGACCCAGGAGACAGACAGCAAGTTGTAACTTAGAAGATGGTGAGAAGCTGTGGCAGAGACCCGGCAGCAGGAGACAGTGTGGTGGGCTTCCAGGCCTACACAGAGAGAAAGCTGAGTGCCTTTGGGCAGAGGCTTAGGGCCAGGGAGAGGCGTGCCTGTGAGCATGGCTGGGAAGAGGCTGTCCTGATGGAAGAACTGCATCCTTGAGTGTTCCGGAGCCTGAATTGTAACCTGTTCCTTCCCTAATAAACCCTATAATCGTTTTGAGTATGGTCTGTGAGTTGTGTGTGGCTACTGCAATGAATTATCGAACTCCGTAGAGAGTACTGTGGGAGGGACGGTTGGTGTTAGAATTGGTAAACATGGCAGAGAGAGGAAGCTTGTCTGGCCTCTACCTCATAGGAATCAGCCTTGGACTGTTGATCTTGATTCTCCTTTCCCCTTGTGAAGTTAGAGGAGGTCAGACACCTCCCCCAAGCTGTTTTTACAGTATCAAAGGACTAAATGTAAGAAATAAAACTATAAAACTCTTTGAAGAAAACATAGGCATAAATCTTTGTGACTTAAATATTTCATAAATATGACTTCAAAATCAAAAGCAAAGATTTTACTAGAGAACTCAGTTCCAAAGTTCAAATACAGTATCATTTCAAAGAAAAATTATTACATGCTGCATTGTCATTTACAGTGTAGAAGTTATTTATTTCTGAAAACTGATGATTGGGAATTTGGCAAACAGGAATTTTGTTGCTTGTACTGGTACTGATTTTTTTGAGAATATCTGGAACTGGGTAGTCTGATTCTCTCCAGGGGTAATAAATAAATAAAACAAATAAAAAAAAAAAAAGTCATGATCTCTACCCCTTTTCTAAAAACAAATCTGATACCTCACTGCAAAAGTTTGAACAGTCAGGTCAAAATCCATTGTATTCCTAAAATCACAATAACAAAGTCACAGTGACAGCACATTTGTGTCCACTTCTTTGTTGCCAGCAGTGCTAATAATGCGCTTTTTACAAAAATGGCAATGAATTAGCACACAAGGAATACGGAAATGGTAACCTGAGCAGAATTTGGTTAGCACAAGGCCCAAGATTGATTTCAAGTAGACTATAGAGTAGATAGCAATTGACTACTTTGATGTTCCGTAAAACATAAAGCATACCTATACATTTACTGTAACGACAGAAGTATCAGTACTTTAAACAAAATCTTGGCTACTTGGTATGTGGCGGCCAAATTTGACAAAATTCTCCTTACATAATGAGAGCATCCCTGAGTTTGCAATATGTATATTTAAGTACTGCATAAAGAAAAATGAACGTCAATAAAGACTATAAAATTTAAGCCAATTTTGACAGAATTCAAGGTCCTTTAAGGAATGTTTCCAAATTTAAACTAAAAAAATTTTTTTAAATCATCCAACTGCTTCATTTTACATTTTTTTTTAAGTGAAAAAGGACGTACTGTAGTATTTCCACGTGTTCAGTAAGCACTCACAACATAAGCCCCTAAAGTTAATTTTAGACAATGCAGGAAAATTCCTGGCTCCAGATATAATCTGGTGACGGGCAGAAAATGAATGTTAATCATGACATGACAAATGAGAATTCGAATTCTTAAGACTGGACTAGGTGGGCTGTAAAGAAGGAAGTCAGGTCAGGACCAAGGAGAAAAACTGTGCAAATGTTTTTTCACTTCCTACCAAAGGACAACATCTGAGCTTTAGGATAAGGGTTAGGACCAAGGTTTGGGCCGACTGCGGTCAGCAGTCCAGGGAGTCCTTGTTGACAAGTGTCCTCTGGCCGTGACCTCTGCCCTAGACGGCGACTGTTCCAACAGAGACGGCCCCGCGGGGAGGAATTCAGGGTCCACCAACAGGCGCAGACGGCGTGACCTCTGCCCTAGTTTAATCTGAGAAGGCAGTGGAGAGGCAGAAGGGAGAAGGGCCCGCAGCCCACAGGCGTGGTCCTGTTTCGCCCTCACTCCTCGACCTTCCTCCCCTTATTCCCGCCCGGAGTTCCCGCTCACCCGGGCAGGACATCTTGGCTAGAGGCAGCGACATGTTCACAGTAACCAGGGCTCTCTCCGTCGGACACAAATCCAAGCGGACTGTTCGCAGCTCCCCGCTGGCGATGCACCTCTAGGACGCGGGGGGCGCCATCCCCTGCAGGGAAGCACCAACCCGAGCACTGAAGTTTGCCTTTCGGGTCAGCCCACAGGCTCTGGCTTGTTCCCGCCTCCCTGTCGCTTTGCGCCGGCGCCACGCAAGAGGTGATGTCTAGACGACGCTTCCGGGTCATATGCCGAAAGAGAAAAAGGAGAGGGACTCCAAATTCCAGCACGCGGGCTGCAGGCTGTGGAACGGGTCGGCATCTCCTACTCGCGTAGTCTTAGTGAGACCGCCGCGCGCCCCCCAAATCCCATACTAGAACGCGCGCGCCACAAATCCCATACATCAACGCGCGCGCGCGGGAGGTGGAACGACGCGGACTGCATCCTGGGAGTTGTAGTCCTCGCTCAAGCGCCCTCCGAGCCGGGCGGAAGGTCTGCTCAGTAGGGGTGAGCGCGCAGAGATGAATTGGCTGACATCTGATTGGCGGTCCCGAAAGCTGAGCCGTCTTCGCAGTCCTGGGCGGAGACCCACGCGGCGACGGGGTGGAGCTTTGGGCGGGAGGAGGTGGGGCCTCCGGGCTTCGGGCGCGAGCGGTTGAAAGACAGTTGGTGTCGGTTCGGGGGTCCAAGTCAGGTATCGCCGCCCCTGCGCTTCGCCATGGCCGAGCCTCAGGAGGTGCGGGCCTCTTCGCCTCCCCCGCCGCCCCCTTCCTCTCCGTCGTCTTCAGACGCCTCTTCAGCATCCTCCCCCGGCGTTCCGGTGAGTCTGGGTTGGCCGGTTCCGAGGAGGAGCAGCGGCCGCCCTGTGGACCGGCTGGAGGAAGTGGAGCTGCAGATCGGAGACGTGAGTGTCCCTTCCGGAGACAGACGGCGGCGGGGCCGGAGGAGCAGGGGTCTCGGCGCACCTTTCCGCCGCCCCTCGGACCTGTCCTGTGTCCCCTGAGAGCGTGGACGCGGGGGGCGCATTCCGGCTTTAGATTGAGTGGGAGGGACGAAGGGGTGACCCGCCGCCCTGCCCGCCCCCTCGGTGTTCCTTCTGCCTCCCCTTCTGGTTTCCTTCAGCCTCAGTAACTCGAAACCCTGTAGCTCCGCTGGCGGCGCCTGGTGCTGACTGCCTGCCCCTCCTCCCCCGACGGCGAGCAGTTTTCCCTGGGAGGACCGTCAGCCGTGCTGTCTTGTTTAGGGTCGGGCCGTGGTTTCTCCCTGTGGGGTTTAGAGCCAGATGTTCCGGTTGGCCACCCGCCCGGAGTCAGCTGATAAACGCTATTGTGCGCCGCGGGCCGGCTTTGCGGGGACTCTGCTGGGAGGGGTAGTCACCGCCCCTTTGGTCACCAGTGGTGTCGTTTACGGTTTAGTGCAGGCTCCCTCCCTGGGATTGCTAGCATGCGTAATTAGTCTGGCTGGTCACCATCCCCAGAGACTAGCACCATCTCCGCCCCCACCCCAGCACACACACACACCCCGGAGGAGGTCGCAGTTTCAGTGTTTACGACTGTGAGTGGGTCAGGTGGAATAAAGGTTGTAGGGAGTAATCTTCCTAGAGAGCGCTTTGTGGAATAGACCGTGTACCCACCTCCTGGGCAGATTCACGATTATCTCATTGCTCAAGAAGTATTTATTTGTTTTTTTAAAGATGACTAAGAATTGCTGATCCAGCTTCCGTATTTGCTGGAACAAGACTAGTGACAAGTGAACATGTAGAATGAAGTGCTGATAGGAACAGTGTTATATACCACATTGAAGAGAACATTTGCTTGAAGTGAGTTTTCCGCTAAGAGTTGGATATTTTCTGCATTCCTGTATGTGTGTGTGTGCGGGGGATTTTGTTGTATTTGTTAGAGCTCAGAGTATCTGTTCTTTAGTCTGCACATTTTCATGGACTAATGTGTTGATAGTGGAATAATGCCCTTTTTACCCAAATATCAATAAGAGTTGTTTGTGATGAAGTCCATCAATACTTCTGCTACTTGTGTTAAGCGGTCATCTTGTTGAAAAGAAAAAAATCTGATTTGTCATGTCTCATACATAATGAATATTTTTCTAGCAGGTATATTTTCTCAAAGCCTACTTCTTACTAAAGAATTTCTTAGGTTCCCTGAAAGAACCTTTTTTATATGAAAAATTATACTTTTAAAGAGAGTAACTTTGGCATTAGATTCAAAGGTTGAAGTTATTTTTTAGACTGTAAAATGGGATCAGAATTTTTAAAATAAACTTCTGTTGTTTGACTCTTTTTTTTTTGTTGTTTTAATTTCAGGCAGCGTTTTCATTAACCCAACTTCTTGAAGCTACATCTGCAGTGTCAGCTCAAGTAGAAGAGCTTGCCTCCAAATGTACAGAAAATGCACGTTTCCTTAAAACATGGCGGGATCTCTTGAAAGAAGGCTATGATTCTTTGAAACCTGACAACTGATTTGGCATGATTAATTAGTTGTTTAGATAATGATTGTGTAATAACTCACTTTTCCTCTTATATGGTATTTACACATGTAGAGGATAATCTCTTTCCAGCAGTTGGTATACTCCGAATGAATTTTTTCTTATTGACTTTTGTGTAAGCAGAATACTGACGTTATTTTTGATACTGGACAGTATTTGATTGCCCTTAAATATTTTCTGTCCTTTAAACTTCCATGGAATTCTTTATAAAAGTTAATCTCATGAGTAGATCATTGATATTAATACCACATTGCTACCAGTAACAAACTAGGTAAACCGTTATTCATTTTGCAGGGAGACTCCAATGGCAGAGATTGAAGGGACCTTGAAGCTCAGCCTTATTTTATGGACCATAGTAGGAGGTAACTTTGATTAAGGTTCTTCCATTAGGCTAGGTTTCCTACATCCAGTGACTATGTTTTATTTATCTCTATATCCCTAGCACCTAGAACAGTGTCATACAATACTCACTAAACATTTTTTGAATAAAAGAGTTCACAAACACAATTAAAAGCTATTTTTTCTTCCTATTTTTGGCATGAAGCCTCTAATTGTTTTCTCTGGTTTAAAAAAATGTGTGAACCAGAACTTAACTGATTGGAAGGAAACGTTAAAAAAAAAAACCAACAAAAAGCAAAAAACAGGAATTTGAACTTTATTGCTTTTTAAAATATATGTTTTGCCCTTTTATGATGATTTTTCTTAAAGGCCTATGCTCCAGAAATTGTCTGGAAAGAATATTTTTCTGTATTTCTGTGGTTAGCTGCTTTTACAGTTAATATTTCTGACCTAGGATATTTCTATGTGCTTGCTCACTGTCTTTAAGCACTTTCTGAGATCTGTGTGTCTGTGCTGTTGCTCTGGGAGCTCTGCAGGTCATTTGTATGACAATTCGGAAGAAGTTACTCTGGGAGCTCTGCAGGTCATTGGTATGACAATTCGGAAGAAGTTACTTTGTCCTCACTGCGTCAGGTTTTAGTGCTTCGGTTATTTTCCTGTCAGTTGACCTTGGTGACAATGCTTTAGTTTACTTGCCCTAGATATTATGTTGCTCTTTTTCATTTGTTTGGGTGTTTTTTTTTTTTTTTTGGTGATTTGTGTCAGCTGATTATCCCACTGTATAACTTCTGTAGTATCTTTGATAAAACCAAACCTGTTGCCATTGAATGAATTGTGACTCCTAGTGATCCTATGGGACAGGGTAGAACTGCCCCATAGGAATTCCAAGGCTGTAATCTTTATGGAAGCCGAGTGCCATGTTTTTCTCTGATGGAGCAGCTGCTGGGTTTGAACAGCTGACTCTTTGTTTAGCAGCAGAGCAGTGGGGCTATGAAAGGGGACAAATGGATGGGCAAAGAATAGTTTTATTTAGCCTATTAAGTCACAGTTCTTATTTTTTAACTTAAAGATCACACATGTGATTTCTATGTTTACTTCAGTATTGGAAATATATTTTTCTTCTATGTCTTAAAATAGCAATTTTTAAGTGTACAAAAATAAACTTATTAAAAACAAATTTTATATTTGTTTTCTTTTTGGTTCATTTTTTTAAAAAATAATTTTATTTATTTTGTTGTTGAGAATATACACAGCAAACATACACCAATTCAACAAGTTCTAGAAGTACAATATAGTGACATTGATTATATTCTTCGAGTTGTGCGACCATTCTCATCTTCCTTTTTTGAGTTCTTCCCCTACTAACATAAACTCACTACCCCCTAAGGTTCCCATCTAATCTTTCAAGTTGCTGTTGTCAGTTTGGTCCCATATAGATAAATAGTTCTTAAAAAACATAATAGTCAAGGCAGAACTTTTATACTAGTTAATGTAAATTACTGTTTGATTTTAAGAAGACTTAAGGGAATATTTTTGGTTTAAGGTTTAAAGATTATCTCAGGGCAGTAGTTTCAGGGGTTCTTTTACCCTCCATGGTTCCAGGAAATCTGGAGTCCATGACAATTTGAAATTCTGTTCTGCATTTTCCCCCTTTTGATCAGGATTCCTGTATTGGTAGCTGGGCACCATCCTGTTCTTCTGGTCTCACAGCAAAGGAGGCAGTTGTTCACGGAGGCAATTAGCCACACATCCCATATCCTCCTCCTATTCCTGACTCTCCTTTCTCTGTTGCTCCAGGCAAATAGAGACCAATTGTTGTGCCTTGATGGCTGCTTGCAAGCTTTTAAGACCCCAGGCACTATGCAACAAACTAAGAGGTAGTACAGAAGCACTAAACATGTTATTAGTCCAATTAACTGTGATGTCCTGTGAAACCATGACCCTAAACCTCCAAACTAAAGAACCAAATACCATGAGGTGCTTGGTTGTAGATAAGCAGCCTCAGCAGCTACTCTTTTTTTTTTTTTTTGTCATTGTTGTAGATAAATCACACAACTTTTGCCAGTTCAACTATTTACAGGTGTACAACTTATTGCCAGCAATTACATTAATTAGCTGAGCAACCCTACACTTAATCAATGCAATTTTTCCCTCACTGTTAACCCCCCTTTTCCCGCCTCCCTCCTGTCCCTGGTAACCACTAATAAATTTTGTTCTCTATACATTTGCCTTTTCTTGTCTTTGTATAAGTAAGGTTGTCATGGATTGAATTGTATCCCCCCAAAATATGTGTCAACTTGGCTAGGCCATGATTCCCAGTGTTGTGTGATTGTCCACCATTTTGTCATCTGATGTGGTTATCCTCTGTGTTGTAAATCCCACCTCTGTGATGTTAATGAGGCAGGATTAGAGGCAGTTTATATTAATGAGGCAGAACTCAATCTACAAGATTAGATTGTGTCTTAAGCCAATCTCTTTTGAGATATAAAAGATAGAAGCAAGCAGACAGACATGGGGAACTCATACCACCAAGAAACAAGAGCCAGGAGAATAGCATGTGCTTTGGACCCAGGGTCTCTGCGCTGAGAGGCTTCTTGACCGGGGAAGGTTGATGGCAAGGACCTTCCCCCAGAACCAACAGAGAGAGAAAGCCTTCCTCTGGAGCTGGTACCCTCAATTTGGACTTCTAGCCTCCTAGACTGAGAGAATAAATTTCTCTTTGTTAAATCCATTCACTTGTATTTCTGTTATAGCAGCACTAGATAACTAAGAATTCATGCAATATTTATCCTGTTGTGATTGGCCTATTTCACTCAGCATAATCAAGCTGTTGCATGTATCAAGACTTCATTTCTCCTGCTGGCTGAGTAGTATTCCATTGCATGTATGTACCACATTTTGTTCATGCATTTATCTGTTGATGGACAGTTACGTTGTTTCTACCTATTTTGAATAGTGCTGCAGTGAACACTGGTGTACAAGTCTCTTTGAGTCTCTGCTTTCAAGTCTTTTGGGTATATTCCTAGGAGTGGAATTGCTGGGTCCTATGGTAGTTCTAGTTTTAGTTATTTGCAGAACTGCCACAGTTTTCCGCAATGGCGGTACAGTGTTGCCTTCCCACCAGCAATGGATAAGGGTTCCAATTTGCCCACATCCTCACCAAGATTTGTTATTTTCTGGGTTTTTTTTTTTTAAATCTTAGCCATCATAGTGGGAGTGAAATGGTATCTCATTGTGGTTTTGATTTGCATCTCTCTGATGGCTAATGATGCTGAACATCTTTTCATGTGTTTGGTGGCCATTTGAATGTCCTCTTTAATGAAATGTCTACTCAAGTCCTTTGCCCATTTTATAATTGGGTTATTTGTCTTTTTGTTGTTAAGTTGTCGAATTTTTATATATATTTTGATTATTAGATGTTTGTCAGATATATGGTTTCCAAGATATTCTCCCAGCTGGTAGCTTGTCTTTTCACTTTTTTGGTAAAGTCTTTTGATGAACAAAACTTTTTAATATTTATGAGTCCTATTTATTTATTTTGTCATTTACTGTTTGTGCTTTTGTTATTATGTTAGATAATCCATTGTTGAAAGCTAGGCCTGACAGCATTGCCCCTGCTTGTTCTTCCAGGAATTTTATGGTTTTTTTTTTGCACATTTAGATCCTTAATCGATTTTGAATTTGTTTTTGTATATGTTGTGAGACATGGATCCTGTTTCATTTTTCTGCTTGTGTAAATCCAATCTTCTCAGTACCATTTATTAAAGAGACTTTCCCCATCGAATGGACTTAGCACCCTTGTCAAAAATCAGTTGACCATAGATGTGTGGCTGTATTTCTGCACTCTCAATTCTATCATACTGGCCTATGTGTCTATTATTATACCAGTACCAGGCTGTTTTGATTACGTAGCTGTGTAGTTTTAAAATCAGAAAGTGTGAGTCCTTGTACTTTGTTCTTCTCTTTCACCGTTGTTTTAGCTATTCAGGGCCACTTGCCATTCCATATAAAGTTGAGGATTTGTTTGTCTATCTCTGTAAAGAGGGCTGTTGGAATTTTGATCAGGATTGTGTTGAATCTATACATCGCCATGGGTAGTATTGACATCTTAACAATATTAAGTCTTCCAATCCATGAACATGGAACGTCTTTCCATTTATTTTTCTTTAATCTCTTTCAACAGTGTTTTATAATTTTCATTGTATAAGTCTTTCATGTTCCTGGGTAAATTTATTCCTAGGTATTTTATCTCTTAGATGCTATTGTAAATGAAATTGTTTCCCTAATTTCCCTTTCAGATTTTTCACTGCTGGTGTATAAAAACCTAACTGATTTTTGTTTGTTGACCCTGTAACCTGCAACTTTGCTAAATGCTTCTATTAGCTTCAAAAGTTTTCTTATGGACTCTTTGGGATTTTCTATATATAGGATCATATCATCTACAAATAGAGATAATTTTACTTCTTTTCCAATCTAGATACCTTCTATTTCTTTTTCTTGTCTTATTGCTCTGTCTAGGACTTCTAATACAATATTGAATACAAGTGGCAATAGTGGGCACCTTGTCTTGTTCCCGATTTCAAGGGGAAAGTTCTCAGTCTTTCTCTACTAAGTATAATATTTGCTGTTGGCTTTTAATATATGCCTTGAATCATATTGAGGAATTTTCTATCTGTTCTAATCTTCTTTAGAGTTTTCATCAAGAAGGGGTGTTGGACTTTATCAAATGCTTTTTCTGCATCCATAGAGATGATCACGTGGTTTTTTTCCTTTTTCTGTTGATGTGGTGTATTACATTGATTGATATTCTAATGTGAAGCCATCCCTGCATTCCTGGGATAAATCTCATCTGGTCATGGTGGATGACTCTTTTAATATGTTGTTAGATTCTGTTTGCTAACATTTTGTTGAGGATTTTTGCATCTATATTCATAAGAGATATTGGCCTATACTTTTCTTTTTTTTGTGGTGTCTGTCTGGTTTTGGTATCAGGATTATGTTTGTTTCATAGAATGAATTAGAGAGTAGTCCTTCCTTCTATATCTTTTGGAAGAGTTTAAACAGTATTGGTGTCAATTCTTCTCTAAATGTTTGGTAGAATTCCCCAGTGAAGCCATCTGGTCCAGGACTTTTTTTTGCTGGGAGGTTTTTGATTACTGATTCAGTCTCTTCACTTGTTAAGGGTCTGGTGAGACTTTCAATTTCCTCTTCAGTCAGCTTGGGTAGGTTGCATGCTTCTAAGAATTTGTTCATTTCATCTATGTTTTCCAGTTGTTGCCATACAGTTGTTCTGAGTATTCTGTCATAATACTCTATATTTCTGTCGGGTCAGTAGTAATGTCTCCTCTTTCATTTTTTATTTTGGTTATTTGCATCTTTTCTTTGTCAGTCTAGCTAAAGGTTTGTCAATTTTATTGATCTTTTCAGGGAACCAATTTTTGATTTTATTGATTTTCTCTGGTTTTGATTTTAGTTATATCTTCTGTAATTTTTGTTATTTCCTTTCTTAAGATAGATTTAGGCTTAGCTTCTCTTCCATTTCTAATTCCTGGAGTTGTCAAGTTAGGCTGTTAATTTGAGATCTTTCTTCTTTTTTCATGTAGGCATTTATTGCTGTAAGTTTCCCTCTGAGTACTGCCTTTGCTGCATCCCATAAGTTTTGGTGTGTTGTGCTTTCATTTTCATTTGACTCTGAGAAATTTGTGATTTCTCTTTTGATTTCTTCTTTGACCCATTGGTAGTTTAATAGTGTGTTGTTTAATTTCCATGTGTTTGTGTATTTTCAGGTTTTTTTCTGTTATTGATTTCTAGCTTCACTCCATTGTAGTCAGAGAAAATAGTTTGTATGATTCCAGTCTTTTTAAATTTATCAGGACTTGCTTTGTGACCTAAAATGTGGTCTGTCCTGAAGAATGATCCATGTGCACTGGAGTAGAATGTATATTGTGCTGTTTTTGGGTGGAGTGTTCTATATATGTTAAGTCTAGTTGATTTATAGTATCATTAGGTCCTCTGTTTCCTTGTTGCTTTTCTGTCCTGTATTGAAAGTAGTGTATTGAAGTCTCCAACTATTACTGTACTACTGTCTATTTCTGTCTTCAATTCTATCAGTGTTTGCTTTCTATATTTAGGTGCTCCAATGTTAGG